ATGAGGGAAGGAGAGAAGAAAGGCAGGCTTGGTCTAGTCATCATCCAGAGAAAACCACTGTTTATGTTCTGGTATGTACTTTAAAAAAGAAAATTTAACAGACCATGATTCCCTTTCTGAGTCATATAATACTCTTTACTGACATTTTTAATGGCTTTCTGATTTTTATATCATGCTTAGCAACTTTCCCAAACCAAGATTACATAAATATTCACGTGTATTTTCTTCAAATACTTTTATGGTCTTCAGTTTTACATTTACATTCTGAATCCATGTGGAATTTATTTTGGTCTGTGATATATACAGGATGGTTCTAATTTTAGTTATCCCAAATGGTAGTGGAAATCTGTCACTTTGGGCTCTCCAGCATTTGAAAACCTTCCTGAGTTGATGCTACAGTGCCCTGCCTCCCACCACAGTAGCAAAGGTGGGCAGACATCCCTTTCTCCCATTCCCCAGCAGTGAAGATGCAGGCCCATGACTCAGGCGCTACATTTGGATGCTCATCTGCATTTCAGGGTCCTGAGGGAGTGACAAAATCACGCAGGGACCATGAGAATGTAGTCATGGTGGCAGTGGTGGGGTCTGGAGAATGGAAATAGTGATGCAGCACCGTGGCATCCTAACCATTCTAGCCCAGAGGCACAAGGCTGGCTGTTCCCAACTCCTTAGCATCTTTTGGTTGCTGTCATTTTCTGAGCTTGGTTTCCCATTGATGCTGAGTTATGCAATCTCTTTCCTTTAAATTCATCTTCTGCTCAAGCTTGCAAGGATTATTTTCTGCCATTTTCAACCCAAAATGCCAACGGATGAAGTTGGCTAAGTGTTGAACACCATTATTTCACAAATGATCTATACTTTTACTACTGAGGAGAAAAAGTATCTACTATATATCACTTTCCTAATACATGCATTTAGGTCTCTTTCTAGACTTAAAATTATTTGGTCTGTCTCTGTGTTACATATTCTTCATTACTTAAAACACTAAAATATGTATTAGTATCTGTAGAATGATTTCCCCTTTCCTTTTAAAATTTTCTTAAATTTTATCATGCATATATCCTTTCCATTATATTTTTTCATTTCATTCATGGCATATAGAAAATCAAATTTTTAAAAAGTTAGTCATTTACTACTTAATAGAGCTTTATTAAGATATAATGCACATATCATAAAGTTCAACCTTTTAAAGTATATTTAGTGGTTTTTAATACAGTCACAGAATTGTGCATCCATCACCACTATCTAATTCCAGAAGACTTTAATTACCCCAAAAGAAATGTCATACCCATTAGTAGCTATTCTCTATTCTCTCCTCCCCCAAGGCACTCATAATCACTAATCTATTTTCTGTCTATAAATTTGCCTAATTTTTACATTTAATATAAATGAAATCATGAAATATGTGACCTTTGTGTCTGGTTTCTTTCACTTAGTGAAATCTTTCAAGGTTCATTCATGTCGTGATGTGTATCAGAACTTCATATTCCTTATGGTTGAATAATATTCCATTGTATGAATACAGCACATTTCATTATCTATTCATGGTGATGAACATTTGGGTTTTCATTTCTGGACCACTGTAAACAATGATGCTATAAACATTTGTGTATAAGGTTTTACATGGACATGTTTTCAATTCTCTTGGGACATATCGAGGGGTGGAATATGGTTTCTCTATATTTAACATTTTCAGAACTGCCAAACTGTTTTTGCAAAAACAGGTGTACTTTTTTATATGCCCACCAGCAATATATGAGGTTTCCAATTTCTCCACATCTTCATCAACACTTTTTTTTTTTCTTCTTCTAGTCATCCTAGTGGGGATAAAGTGGTATTTCATTGTGGTTTTGAGTTCCCTAATGACTAATGATATTGAATAACTTTTTCATATGCTTTCTAGTCATTTGTAGAAACTTCTTTGAAGAAATGTTTATGCAAATCCTTCATGCATTTTAAAATTGGGCTTTTTTTTTTAAATGGAGAGTTGTAAGAGTTTTTTCTACATTCTAGATATGTCTCTTACCAGGTATCTGAATGGCAAATATTTTCTCCTGCTCTGTGGATTGCCTTTTCACGTATTTATGGTATCCTATGAAGCACACAAGTTTTTAATTTTGATGAAGTACGATTTACCACTTTTTTGGGTCACATCTAAGAAATCACTGCCTAATCCAAAGTCATGATGATCTACACCTACATTTTCTTCTAAAAGTTGTATAGTTTAAGTTCTTACATTTAGGCCATGATCCATTTTGAACTAATTCTTGTATCTAGTATAAGGTTTGGGTCCAACTTTATTATTTCGCATTTGACTATTCAGTTTATTTCTTTCTCTTGTCCAGTAGTCCTGGCTCGGACCTCTAGTACAATGTTGAATAGAAGTGCTAAGAGCGGATACTCTTGTCTTATTCCTGGTCTTAGCGGGGAAATTATCTAGTTTTTCACTGTCCAGTATGACGTTAGCTGTGGATTTTTCACAGATAGCATTATTAGATTGAGGAAGTTCCCTTCTATTCCTAGTTAGTTTAGTGTTATCATGAAAGAGTTTTGAATTTTGTCAAGTGCTTTTTCTGCATCTACTGAGATTATTGTGTGACTCTTGCCCTTTGTTCTATTAATATGGTATACAATATTGGTTGCTTTTCATATGTTAAGCCAGCCTTGCATTTAATTCCATTTGATCATGGTGTATAATCCTTTTTATATGTTTCTAGACTGTGCTAGTATTTTGTTGAGGACGTTTGTGTCTATATTCATAAGAGATATCAGTCTGTAGTTTTCATATATCTTAGTTTGGTTTTGGTATCAGGGTAATACTAGCCTGATAGAATGAGTTGGAAAGTGTTCTCTCCTCTTATTTTTTGAGAAAGTTTTTGAAGGATTGGTGTTAATTTTTCTTTAAACATTTGGTAGAATTTACCATTAAAGTCATCTGGGCCTGGGCTTTTCTTTGTGGAATTTGAGGGGGAAAAATTAATTTAATCTCTTGTAATATAGATCTCTTTAGAATTTCTACTTTTTCTTAAGTTTCAGTATTTTATGTCTTTCTAGGCAGCTATCCATTACATTCAGGTTATTGAAAACTGATTTTTAAACATGTATTGCATAACTCATGAGTTATGATAAATTTTTAGTTGTTTATTTTTGGTTTCCTAGGGAGA